CGCAAGAAGGACGTGGCGCAGTTGTGCCTGGGTCCATCATAGATGGCGGTAGGATAGACATTGTTTCCACATTGTGCAAGAGAGTTGGTAATCTATACTCGTCTTTATCTATGGTCCAACGTTCAGAAATTCATAAATATTAATAACAATGAATAAAAATATAATCTAAGACGTGATTGACACAAACGTGATATTAAAGGGAGACTTATATTTTCACTGCTTGCTGCTTGAGTTGCGTGTAATGATCATATGTTGCACAGGCCCGGCGAAAGAACGAACTCCAATAAAATTATTTTTTCAACAGATAGACTTGCGAGGCCATTCCCTGAAACTAATGGGTTTTTAGGCCGTCGTTCGGTAGAATTTCTTCTTGACGTTTCGCAAGCACGAGTGGCTTGCATCTTCAGAAGTGGTTTGCTTGAGCGCTTACTCTGTTCTGATGCGATTCCTTGGGCGCAGTCCGTATTCATGCACCAGTTGCGATGACGTAGTTTGTGATGACGTGGTCTATGTGATCGGAGCCTGCACACTCTGTTGGCTGTTGCTATCCTCCGGTGTACTGGATCCTCTCTCCTGTCCTGAGCTGTTGCTTTTCTTCGTTTTTTCTTGTTGTTTTTGCATTGGTGAGTGCTGGGAACCATATTCTGTTTAGCGCCATTGTCTGTTCTTTGTTGCTGAAATTGTCGTCGTGTTTGTAGATTTCAATGGCTTCTCCTATTAGTCTGGGGCGATGTTGTTGTGGTCAGGACCTGTGCCTCTCCGAAATAGATGTTGTGTATTCCATCACTGAGGGCGTGTTCCGCCACTGTCGACTTTTCCACATGTCCCAGTTTACAATTCCGTCGGCGATCTTCTATTCTATTCGCAACCGATCTCTTAGTAGTTCCTATGTAGACGCTTCCACAGGAGCATGGAATCCGGTAGATTCCTGCAGTTGCGACGGGATGTCTTCTGTCTTTAACTGACTCTAGACATTCTCGGATCTTTGTTGTCGGCTTGTAGACTGTTCTCATGTTGTGTTTCCTCAGGAGCCTCCCAATTCTGTCTGTAACCCTGGGAACATAGGGCAGGAATGCTTTCAGAGTGAATGCTCTCACTCCTACAGCTTTTTTGATGTCCAACTGGGGATAACCGTTCCGAAAAGCTTTTTCCAAGTGCTGTAGTTCTGTGGTTAGATCTTGTGGTCCACATATTTTTCTGACTCTATCCGTGAGAGTCTTCCCTGCTTCTGACTCGGATGGTGGTTAGATAACTTGTGAAGATATCTGTCTGTGTGGGTGGCTTTTCGATATACCTTGTGATCCAAACGATTCCCCTGGCTAGACACCAAAACATCCAAGAAGGCCAGTTGGTGGTTTTGTTCAAATTCCATGGATGTCTGGGTGCTGTTTGTTTAGATGGTCGAGGAAGATGTCCAGGTTTTTCCGTTCATGCCTCCATAGCACGAACGTGTCATCGACATATCGGTACCAGATTGTTGGTTTAATGGGTCTGATGCGGTTCGCATTAGAACAGTATAAGCGTTCAAGTAAATCACTTCTGAAGATGCGAGCCACTCGTGCTTGCGAAACGTCACGAAGAAATTCTACCAAACGACGGCCTAAAAACCCGAAAAACCCATTAGTTTTAAAATTATTTTGTTCGTTAAATCGTTCTTGTTGTTAAAACTTGCCTATTCTAAATGGATCACAATATATATTATTACATTTTTGAATTCTACTCCAAATGGGGAACTTGGACATTTTCTTTTTATTTCTTTAATATATTTGTCTATCTATAGAAATCGCGCATACCAAATATCTGCTCTCAAATCGCAATATTTAAGTTGCGATAAACAATTAAAGTCAAAAACAACACTACACGCGCGGGAATAGTCGTGACGTCGTGACAACTTTTAAAAGGCCAGAAAAGCTATTTATTCGTGTACCACGAGATAAAATCAGCCCTTTAAAATGGTTAAAGGGTAAAGGTATGCAAGGATATTTCTGAGAAGACTACTGCCCATGTATGTTAAGATCGTTTTAATGTAAGTATAAAAAACAGATTTGATTTTGTCTATTGTATAACAGATAAAAACTTTGAATTTGTATTTTGTTTGCTTCTCGGCTGCATTATAGTAGTAAATAATCACCTCAAAAATAGTTAATTGCTATACTAGACGATAAAAAGGAACAATAAGTATTTGCGAAAGAAAAATCTAGTTTTATCGTGGTGCATTTACGTTAAATACCTACTATTTTTCTCATGCAATATGAATATTAACACATATTTTTAGGTAACTTTAATATTATTTATTTATTCTAGCTGAAAGGAGATATGGATAACTATGTTAAATTCAAGTTAATGGGAGGTCTGAAAAAATGAAGGCTCTTGTCCTTGTAACTTGCACCCATCCTACTGCAGAAACTGCGGAACGACGGATACATTTAATCATTAACGCTCTATTTAGCATCAATGCCAAATCACTTTTAATGATGCAATTTAGCATGAAAACAATACTTTCTTATTTTTTGTAGAATCACTTACATTTTGATCAATAGGTCCTATTTGAATTTTGAAAATTAGAGCCAATAAAAGCCCAGTCTAACATTTTATCTATTTATATAAGTAAAACTATTGACTATTTTGTCTATGAATCTACCTGTTAGCTTTAACACTGCGAACTTCAGCAAGAGTAAAACTTTCGGTGTTTTTAATGTAAGGTGCCACCATAAACATATCCACGAGTGATAAAATGTCAGATTGTCCTTTTACAAAACCTGCGTCAGTCATTTTGAAAAATTTTCTTTTTCTCCTAATATTTTATATAAACGTTTTAACAGCAATATCAAGACCGAGGTTGCATATTTGCATGTTTCTCATTGAAGCCACCGCGGCCGACGAGCCGCTTGACGTCACAACTGGTCCCAGCCGATGACGGCGCGTTTCAAGAATGATTTGAATTATACAGTTTTCAATTGCTTATATCAATTACATAGAAATAAAAAATAGTTTTTTGGTCAACTGTGGTGTTTTTAATAGTCTTAAGTTACGTTTGCGAGTAATATTTTTTAAATTAAATTTTTGTGCAAGTTCCCTATTATAAATATATTTCATGTATAATATCCTATACCTAAGTATCACCGTTTTTGATTGGTATATTTGAAATTTTATCTAAAAAATGGCAGAGGTAGTCAAGCGAATAATTATTTATTTCTCCTATAATAAAATATGTGCTACTTAATTTGGGTCGCATTTCTTATAGAAAAGACCTTACTTTAATGGAATTTCGACAACATTTTGATAACTATCATTACAAAGTGCTAAAAAATAAGTTTCAAAATAACGTTGAGAAAACCATTCACAAATATAAAAACTACTACCGCTGCGGCTATAACTGCAGCATCAGCAGTATCCAACATATTGACGAATGTAGACAAACGTTTGAATCACACTTCAAAATGAATTTTGCTTCAAGCATTCGACACACCGTGTAGCAGATATATTTGCCACACAAACTGTCGAACTTTTTGACTCAAATGCTCGGTCCAACGTTCGAGCCAATGTTCGACGCATCGTGTAGCGCCGGCTTAACCAGAAAGCTGTATTTTGAAAATAATATAAGTTTGTAATTTGTAACTCTCCTACACTGCACTAGATAGCGCGCACTATTCAATGAATTAATTCATTTGAATGTTTATATTCGATAGTTGCAATCATTCATTTAGTACTTATTCATTTCAGTTCATTCATTTAGTGCCCATCACAAATTTTAATATTGATCTATTTAGTACAGCGATTTCTTTGCTCTTGAGTCTGAAACCCATGAAATGCTAGTCAATTTTAAAACTTGTAACATTGCATTATCAGAAAATAATTTTTTCAACAATAGTAGAATAGGATGACCTACACCTAAAATATGACCGGATTTACCTACATTTTTATTTTCTCGAGGAGAAATTGAATAAGAAAAGCATGCCAATTTACCTGAGGAATTGATTGAAGACTTTTAATACTCCTTTAGGTTTTAAAATTATATCATATTATTTATTAAGTTTGAAAACCGATAATGTAGGTACAGAAAATTTAGTGCGTTTCTAAAAGTTGCACAATTGCGTCCTATTTGAGAGAATTGAGAATAACTTTCTGACTCCAAAGAGTCTAAGCGTTTATTTTTTACTTTTCTGAAGAATACTGCAACCTTTCTTGTTTAATTTTCAGTAGCCCACCCTGTATACCATTTTCGGAAATTTCTAATTTTGTTCAGTATATATTATTTTTCACGGATCCTCATTGATCTTAGATAGGGCAAACCCTAACAAAATTGCTAGTCGACTTAATACTGAACAGTTTTCTTTAATTTTTGAATGGAAATTTGGAAATAAACATTTGTTTTTTAGTAAAAGAGACATTATCAAACTTAACCCTTTGGTAAAAAAAATACGAAATAAGATAGTGACCCGATTTAAAAATATCATAGAAGAACATCAAATACCAAGCGAATAGAAGAACAGCATAACAATAACCATTTTTAAAAAGGGACGGAATGCACTCCCAGAAAACTGTCGTGGAATAACCCTACTTGATAACTCTCTTAACGCATTCACAAGGGCTATTCTGGGGGAAAATCACCAAAATCACAAGAATAAGAGAAGAACAGGACTTCCGAAAAAACAGATCCACAATAGATGTAATATTCAAGGTCAAGCAAATATCAAAAGAATCCCTGAAATTCAATAAATCGGCGTATCATAGATATGACTAAAACTTTTGACAGAGTGCGCTTTAAAGATTCCCTGGAATTAAAGAGAACAAAAGGGCTAAGCCACAAACTGCTTAATGTAATACACAACGTAAACACCCATTGCAGAACAAAAATTAGAGTAGGACACATTGCAACGGAAGCCGTATACACAAACACAGGAATTAGATAGGGAGACTCACTCAGCCCTTTCATGTTTAATGTGCTAATGGATGAAATAACAGACAATCTTCTTGGAACGGCTGGATATAAAATGGGATGTACTTTCTTCCATGCCGTGTACCACGCTGACGAAGTCAATTTCCAAAGGTAACTCCGTTCTTTTAACAACAATGCAGCATCATCAACACAGAGAAGACTAAATGTAAAAAGAAAAGGGACCGATGAACTGCAAGCTGGAATCGACTCCAAGATCGTCGAACAAGTAAAACATTTCAAATATTTGGGAACAGAGATAACGAGCCATGGAAGTCTACCTCTCGAAGTAAGAGGACAAACAATAAAAGCGGCTCGAGTTTCGGAATGATTGAGAGAAATTGTTTAGAAAAACCAATACCTAAATACGGAAAGCAAAGTCAAGAAATCAGAATGCAATGCGGGATCTGGACATAGGAAGATGGGTGAGACGGATTAGAAGATTCTGGAACAAAGAACGGAGAACAATAGACTCGCAAAAACGCAAAAATGAACAATTCAGTGGGAATGAGGCCACAGGGAAAACCATCAAAGTGCTGGAGGGAATACTGGAACTCATCCTCCTGGGAGGACGTGTTGTGTTTAGAAATATTAAAAAGATACAAGAAGAAAACTTAGCTAGACTACCTGAATACCTACAAACTAATTAAAAATCGTAAGTGTCCCACATGAGAATGGCAATTTGTGGGCGGAGATCTATTTTCTGTACTTCAAAAATATAATGAAATTTTTTGAAAATACCATTGTATAGATTATAATTCAGCAATAAAGATAATACAAGATATCATGCTCTGTTGCCCCAATTGGAAGCGTACAGTGTAGAACAAGTCTGTCGAAATGGAAATGTCGCCTAGCCTAAATATGAATCAAAATTTTCAAACATAGATTTCCTTCCCGGTCTACGTCGATTGGTTTTTTGACAAAAGCAGAAAAATTAAATAAACATTCAGAAACTTATTGACAAAGGATACGTAAGTCGGAAACTTACAAAAACTATAAATAAATAAGTGACAGTGGAATCCGCCCAAAAGGGACAATTTTGAGCTAAAAAACACGCTAAATAAATTGAATTACTTGCTACTACTTGAACTGCTTACTAGTAATCTTTCCCGTTGTTTCCACCTCACATTATTAGCGATATACCCGAAAAAACTAAGTTTTAGCGTAGAAACTCGCAGTCGACTGTACCACAGTCGCATCCACGACTTACGACATTGGTATTGGAATGTTAATATTTTTTATCGTTTAAATGTGCAGCTTGTGATCTGATCAAATGCACCGACTGTGATTATGCGCCTAAAAATACGCGGAATCTGGGATCGCTCGCCAGCTTTATTTTCCGCTTGGGCGAGAGCCGGCAGCAAATTTTACTGGTTGGCCAGGAGATATTTATACTTTTAGTTGCAAGAGTTGGATATAATACATCTGTTTTACCAAATATTTCGTTTTCTTCTTTGGCCGAATATAATGTAAAATATTTATTAGCTATTTTTATTTAACATACAGGGTCGTTGTCGATGACCAGTACAGGATCCTTCGAAACTATGGCAGTTACGAAAAAGATTAAATGCACAAAGAATTGTAGTTTTGAATGCTCTACTGTAAGAAAAAGCACACATACACCACTTTGAATTACTTTAATTCCAAACACATATGAGCGATCTCATAACATCTGTCGGCCAGCTCGTCATCTACCAGACTAACCCCGCCTAAAAAGGTTCCTACTAGGTATTTCAACACTTATCCGTATAACCTGACACATAAACAAGCAGTGCCCTTATTTATGGGTTTCGCTCGAGTTTATGGTCGCCCCAGTGTTTTGCTTATAGAGCACGAATCAATTATCGACAACACTCGGCCATCCTGACCAATGGTCTGTCCCCAGACCCTAAACACATTCTACATACAAATTACACATTTTCACACAATTATTACAATCTTCCCCATACGTGGGCATAACTGACTATAGACTCTTGTCGTAAAGAATACAACGCTCATAACTAATACAACTTTTGCGAGGAGAGCAACATTTTTTTTCGCCATACACAAATGAGCAACACTTTACACACACAACACTTTATTTACATGAAATGGTCCCTTGTATTTTGCCAAAAGCTTGTGACTGACACCAGCGGGTGTGCATGTAATTTTGACCATAACTAATTCACCTTTTTTCAAGTGATAACTTTTTATGGGAGGGTGGACAGATTTTTTCTTGGTCACGGCGAGCCGAGTCCAGGCTCTTCGCGCCTGAGACTTGGGACGCACATATGCACTTTAAAATCAACATTTTTCTCTTAGTGCGGGTGCATCTGTAGATCTGACAAACTTTTCAAATACACATTGCGTTAATAAACTGACAGTGATTTTGAACTATTAATTATTGAGTGGAATATGATTGTGTTCGGTGCAGTTTATTTTATAACGCTGATAACAATGAAACGACAAATTAACCAGGGAGAAGCTCGGATACTGCAAATACTATTTCTAACCACTACTTTTAATAGTCTAGACTGTTTGTCTTGAAAAGAATGCCATACCAGATCCATGTTTTTGACTACAGTTGTTAAATCCCTATAGTCCCATTCGTCCTTGACATTTATTTTTATATTTCCGCCAGCAAGCATGCTTGTCTGGAACTTTATTTCATTTTTGACCAAATCTTCAGTTAGGGCATTGAAATTATCAATTTTGCTGATAATTACTGGTGATGGTTTATTTTCTGTATTGATTTGCTCCTGTTGTCGGGTGCTTTATGATGTTACGTTGCACCGGTTCTTTTGGAGAACTGCTTGCTTTTCTCTTCTTTGCATTCTTTACCCTAATCCATTCCGTTTCCCTACTTAGTTCTTCTTCGCCTGTGTAGTATTCATCTGCAATTTTTTCAAAGTTTGCGTGTGATAATTTACCCTCTAATACTGTATATTTAAGCATTAGTTGATCGTATAACTTCTGCAGAACATTTAATTGAGATTGAAGTTGTTCAACTTTATCATTGTCTGCATTTTTTTCCTTGTTAGACACTAATTTTACCATTATAATGGGTTTATTTATTGGTTTATTTTTAGTGTGAAAACTTGCATTGCTATACATTATGATTTGTTTTGATTTTGTTTTTGGTTTTGTCTCGAAAATAAAGTGTGCGAACAATTTATACTTTTTCAATTTCGTTCGCTAAGACATAGCATTGTTTCCATAGCAACAAATTATAACATCTTTCGATTTTTGACATTCGAATTTAAATGAAACTTAGAAATCTAACTTAATTTTACTGTGAAAATGAATTATTCGAATAAAGAAAAGCGCGACATGATTGAAACCTACATTAGAAGTGATAAAAATGCTAGACGAGTCTCTGATTACTATTTTGAGAGGCATTTTGACCGTCGTCAAAGGTCCTTGAAAACACTCAAACGATTATACGAAAATTTGGGCACTTATGGAAGTTTTACGCAGCCAAGAAATGAAGATAAAGCCATAAATGAAGCTGTGGAAGTTAATGTCTTGGCAATTGTAAGGCAGAATCCACAGATTTCAGCCAGAGATATCGCAGCAGAATCCGGGACTTTCCAAAGCACCGTGATGAGAGTTAAAAAAACACAAATTACATCCGTATAAATTATAAGCATTGCACTTTACATCCAGGGAATGAGGAGCTGCATGTGCAGTTTTGTACATGGTTCCGAAACAATTGCCAACAAGACATTCAATTCTCTTATAAAATATTGTGGACCGACGAAACTCGATTTACAAATTGTGGTATGTTTAATCGTCACAATGACCATCTTTGGAATCAAACAAATCACCACCACGTTGAGCAAAGAAGACCACAAGTTAAATTTGGGTTCAACGATTGGAGCAGAATGGTAGGTTCAAAAATTCTTGGACAATTTATTTTTGAAGGCACCTTAAATGGTAGTCAGTATCTTCAATTCATTCGGAATAACCTGGATTTTATGTTGAACGACTTACATTTAGAAGCATGACGTAATATGCAATGCTTTCAATTTGATGGGTCTCCTCCGCATTATTTTTCCCAAGTTTGGAACCACCTGGACGTAACATTTCCTGGGGCTTGGATTGGACGAAACGGCCCTATTTTGTGGCCATCTCGATCACCGGACCTTTTACCTTTGGATTTATTTTTGTGGGGAGCCGTAAAAAACACAGTTTACAAAAACAAATATTCCCTTTTAAATGCACTTAAAGAAGTTGTTGTTAGAGAATTTGAAAATATTGATCCACAAGAAAAGCAACTTATTCAGTTTGAAGGCGTCGTAATGTTTGCATTAATAATAATGGTGGACTTTTTGATAATGTTTTAAAATAAAGTTAAAGTTTATAGAGTTTAATTTTAATTACTATTGGTATGATTTAATTTTTGTAATAAACACTTTAAATAAACAGCCGACTTAATTAAAATAAACTTATTGTCAACTTCATAGTATTTTTTTCAGACTGCTGTTTGGGTATTTCGCCTAAAAAAATTTGGTCTCAGAATTTCCTCAGGTCTTTTATTACAGATTTATAAATAGTGCAATTATTTCGCAATCAGGACGAATTATTTATCAAAAAGTAATCAAGAACTATCACCTAGAGGGTATCCTGCAACACACTTAGGCTCAAGCTGTAAGAGAACATTTCAATAAGTAAAAAAAAATATTTGAAAAAATTGCCTTGACGTTTCGATACCTATTTTCTCCTATCGTTATCAAAGGACCTACATTAACCTAAAAAAGAGTATGTTAATAACTTGTGCAACAATAGTAGGATAATAAAGTATATAAAAATTAGCTCTGATAATTCGTCTGTGCAAATTGTTAGTTATGTTGAAAATTCTGTCGTTTTTAAAGGCAAAAATTTTTGAGCCGAAATACCCAACAAGTATGATATATGACGGGTAATGAAACAATTACTATTTTCTATGATAATATAATTCATTACTTTTATAAAATCACAAACGTTAACATACTCTACATAATAAGTTCACACAGCAAGAAAGTGTTTTAATTACATTTGCATGTACATTGCAACAATAGTCTAACAGCATTTGTCAATAAATATATTAAGACTTAACAAAATTTCGTTATCAAAAATTAGGAGCCGAAATTGTCGATCGTTGAATTGAGTTGTTCGACTTACTTAAAGCTTTATGGACAATCCAAACTAATGATATGAAAAATTCCGGGAAAGGAAAGGAAAGAATATACTATTTCGTCTAAATTACATGTACGTTAAATCATGAGTTGAAGGTAACATTCGAGAAACAATTTCTAAATCAAATTTAATCAAGTCTATAAAAACGCATAATTTTTAACTTGTGATTAAATCTTTATCAAAAGGAATTAAAAAGTAATTCTGGGTCTCAGTGAAAGTTGCATACACTCACAGGCCCCGAAAATAAAGTGGGTATAATGTAGATTAAATCTAATACGAAATAGGGCCGAAGATAAATACCAATAAAAATAAACTGTAGCGCCATTTGACACCATTAAACTTAAAACTATCACTAATCTGAAATGTCTATGTTTGACGATCAGTCCAAAGTCGATAAATTGTAACGTACATCAGTACGATAAGTAAATATATAGTATTAAGTAAATTAAATTACAAGTGCATTAATAGTCTGCCTCTAATTCTCATTGAGTAAAATTATCATTATTAAAAATTTTGATTATAGGAGATTTTAGAACTTGCTTATATATTGTGTGATCGTTTAAAATAGAATCTTTAGGGAATAATAAATATTTAGAATATAAAGTTCATTAACAAACTACGCGTACGCATTTCGATTATGTGCATACTATGAGATAGATCAAACATACACTCTTCATACATTTTCAAACGTAAGACCTCAATTCAGCAAATATTAAACACTGTATTGAAAATACTATAGTTCGTGTTAAATTAAACATATTAAATAAGGAACTTAGTTATAGTATGTTCATACAACATGGTGATTAAAGATAACAAATAAACTAGAGTTTTGCAGCATCTTTGAAGAGAAATCATGGAAGAATGGTAATTAGGAAGATAACATTAAAGAACGTCAGCGCCATTAAAACCGTAACTTTAAAGTAATAAGGTGTAAAAATAGCAATAGCCTAAATAGGTTCGGAAGCGGTAGAAGACTGGATAATTGAAGACGGCCTGTCTGTAGAATAGTGTGATAAAACCGAGCCTCTGTCTAGTCTTTGGCGGCGAATATACGGACTGAATTCGTGTTAAAATAATATTATATTCAGGTTTTTTGAAACCTCTTAGTTTATTTTTAAATCGGTGATTTCACTTACCGCCTAGGAATTGAGGTAGAACATGTTTAATCTAAGTTATTATCAGATCCAGCATATAAACTTTTGGCAATTGTACTGAGTCTTGCAATTCTGCTACTGTTCGTTTGATAGGAGCCGGGAATATTTCGGTACGAATGACCTAAAAAATACATAATGCCATAATCTAAACAGTCGAACTTGTTAGTCTAAAAGTTGGTTTACATGCTCAAGCCATCTGCACAAACTGGATTGCACAAGCCAGATTTGAGCAAAACTGTATTTGTTGACAACAGGATGGAAAATTTGGGCGAAGAACTAACTAAATTATTTTGAAATTTTGTGTTGTCGAAGAATGAGTATGGTACGCTTTGCGTTTCTCACAAATTGAATATAACTGACGCTTAAGTGTGTACATCTAAAAACAGACTAAAATTTTCCCAAAAATTAGGTAATATTTTTGCATGGGATGGGGACTGGCGCCGGAAACAACACATTTTTTTTGATTTGTTAGCATTCACTTGTCCGCTGGTGGTACAAGAGGTGTCACCAATGCACGCCGTACCTCTGTATGAATCCCTTTTCCAAATCCAAATTTATGGCTTTGTTTTTCTATTTACCCCAAGATTTTATGTTACAGGGTGCATAGGTCATTTGAAAAACTGCGAAGATATGTAGGCAATTTCAAGCTCATATTTACAGTGGCGTTCTGAACAAAATTATCTGTTAATCCAATTATTTAAATCAATAAGAAATTTGATAATATGTGGAATAAACGGTAATATTAGGAAATAAGTACCTTAAAGTCAGATAAGAACAATATTAAAAAGAGAACCCCATACGCGCTAGAAATATTTCATTCAACACCCATAATATCATAAGATTGAACATCGGTTAAGACGCTCAAGCCAATGCTCCGATATCAAGTGGATTTTCTGTCAGGATAGATTTTACTCAAGCCAAATTTTTCGGCATACACAGACTTCAAACCTGCGTTTACACGCAACGATTTTATTGTGCGATCGGGATTGTGCAAACCGATTTGCGTAAACATCTTGAGCGTGTAAACGGTCCTTAACAGTAGATGTGCAATGAGATTTATTAAAAAAGGTATCATAAGTCAAAGAATCGTTGATAATTTATCATCAGTTTTTGTCAACATGGTTTATTGAGTGTTATTCCATAGCTTATATACAGGGTGTCTCGTAAACCTTCTACAATACTTCGCATGATGAAAGATCAATCTCGGGCAAGTCAGAAAATGGACAAAATATTTTATTTGTATTTGAGTTTCGGGAATCGTCGTAATTCAAAAGCAGCAGTAGGATGGAATGAAATATAAGATATAAGGAATATGAATTAAATTGAAGGTTTTGCCAAAAAAAATCTTGTGAAGAACTTTGGGGTAAACTAAAATACAATAGCAGTTTTCGATATAAGGGCGAAAAGTGTGGTTTTTCGAACCACGACAGCGTTTGACACCCGAGACGAAGTCTGGGGCATCAATCGGTCAGTAGTTCGAAAAACATATTTTCGCCCTCGTATCGAACAACATTTTTCATTCGAATAGAAGACATAAAACGAATCATGAGTTATAATAAATAAGAATAGCCAAAAATTAAAGGCATCAACTTCATATTTTAAATCTGATGTTAATGTCGTTCGTGAAATTGTCTCGTTTTGAGGTTTGTAATTTTTCAAAAGCGTACTTTTGTAACCATATACACCCGAAGTGCTGCTTTCACGGATGGTGTTCGAATAAGTTGCATTTTTGCATGACATTTGCGCCATATTTAAAAATATCGTGCTTTTTGTGTGGCAACATCGGCGAGTGTAGAAAAGTAGATCGACTTTGGGACTGAACTTGTAACAAAGTTATAATTTACAAATTCCAAGTAAACTTTAAATTCGAATCAATAGTTGTAGATAAACTTACGGAATTAATTAAAAAAGCATGTCAGTTACTTTTTAAGGAAAATACTTAATGGTCGTTTTCGGGCGAAAGTGTTGTTTTTCGACGCAGCGACAGCGACGGCGTTACACAACTCGACTTCGTCTCGGGTGTCAATTCGTCAGGAGTTCGTAAAACGGATTTTCGCCTTCGTATTGAACAACATTTTATTCGAATGAAAAACATAACACGAATCATGAGTTATAATAAATATGAATAGCCAAAAATAAAAAGCATTAACTTCATATTTGAAATCTGATATCAATGTCATTTTTGAAATTGTCACGCTTGGACGTTTGTCATTTTTCAAAAGCGTACTTTTGTACGCATTTACAAGTGGAACAATGAGTGTTAAAAATGCAAGTGCTGTTTTCACTGTATGTTGTTAAATAAATAAATAAATTGCACATTTTGCATGAAATTTGTGCTATTTAAAAAAATCGCGTTTTGCTTGTGGCAACATCGGCGAGCGCAGAAAAATAGAACCATTTGAACGACTTTGAGACTGAACTTGTAACAAAGTTATAATTTACAAATTGTAAGTAAACTTTAAATTATAATTAATAGTTTTTGATAAACCAATGTTATTAATTTAAAAAGAATATCGATTACTTTTTAATGAAAATACCTTAAAAAATATAATGACACTGACAGGTTTAATTTGTCACATTTACTTTTACGCACATGTGCGTAAAAGTGCGGTAAAGTAAAACAAATGAACAGTAAAGAAAAGTGCTTTTTTTATTATCGCTTCTGATCGAAAAATGGCACTTTTTGATTCATTCGAATAAAAAGGGTATTTGCTACTTATTATTTCATAAGCGTAATAGCACGGACTATTAATTAACTGATGTCAGTTATGATCGATTTAAAAAGTGTAAATTTCTTTCAAAAGGCTTTAAAAAAAGATGAACCTTTTACCAGTCAAGTAACGAAGTAACGTTTACAGGACACCCTGTACACGCATAATATTTTATAATTTTATTAATATAAAAGTTACGAAATACTTCCATTTTGGTATTCCGCTTTATCGTAAATGTTTCGTGGGATTTCCAATTGGTAATAGTTTCAACATTAAGTTTTGAGCACAAATTCATATATCGACAAGAGCAATCATTATCAGTTCGTAATAAAACATTCTAAAAAGACAAATATCGGTCAATGCAAAACCCCAATTTGAGAGAAATACGCAAGGGAATAACGTTAATATTTAATTTTGAACTCTTTAAAAAGAAGTTTTAATTAAAATACTAAAATAAAGTGAATCATACTTGTTAAACTCTAATGCGATCCCGGAACATTCTGAGAAAATTGAGTCAAGTTTTGCTGACCGCCTGGAACTTTCCAGTAATCATTTAGGACAGAGGCACTGCAACCATCTGGGTGCTGGATTATGTTAGGAAATATACGATGAAAAACTGGTTCTGGAAAGTCCAATATTTCAATAACGTAACACTAAAAATAATTTACCAACCTGCTAGGAGCGCTTGGGCTTCGGTATGTCTCCAATAAAACGAGCTACACTCAGGATTTGAATACTCTCTCCTATGATCTCTTCCATGCAGATTAAGGCCTTTGTAAGTGTTTGCAAAGCTGGGTCGGCGCGGTTCTTTTCGTTGAATCTAGTGTAGAAGCTTTTTCTTCTGATTCTATCAATAACCGAAGTCATATAATCATTAGTAGGAGAGAGAAAGGTCGAGCCATCATCGGTAGTTGTCAAGGAATTTCGATTTTCATTACTATTTTGCAAATCATTTAAGCCTTCCTACTTGGGCCTGCTGGCTGTTCTGAAGCCGACCCACTTTGTCGCACGGTTGTCGGTTTAGATCTAGCTTCAAATTTCTTCTAACCGATTTAACTTCCTGACTTATTTCATCGCTAATGTTTTGAAAAACTTTAACGGTTCAGATAGACTGTCTAAATTCAAACTCCTCCTGAACAAATTTACCTCCATCTTGGACTTGCTTTTCTCATTAGCAGCAGATACCTGACTTAAACTGTCGGTTTTTGCATAATCGTAAGTGTTTCGAAACTATCTGACTGTTCTCTAAGGCGTTTAAGTGCGTTGTCTGCTGAATACTTTTTATTCATTGTGTCTTTGGTGTCAGCAGAATCCTGTATAGCGCTGCTTCTCAACTTTTCCAGTTTTTTCTCGATGACTACAGCAGCTTGTTTTTATGCGCCTTATTGTTATGGTATACCTAATGCTTCTTGTTCAATTGATAATCTTAATTCCCCTGCTATTTGTGCCTGCCCAAATTGTCCCCATTTCTCAACTAATTTAGCTAAATGCCCAGAAAAATGCTGAAGTGGACATATTAAATGCGATTGATTGACGAAGAGTAATTTCAGGTTCATTCAGATAATTAAGGTAAATAACAGACTCAGCACCATACCATACAATGAGGATGCTAGTTACAAGTATTTGAGTACGATAGCTAGCATCAACTAAATCTCTAGTTGGAATTACTCAGCGTCTTGCTAAGCGTGACTCTATTTCTAGGCTTTTTACTGCTTCAGCTCCAGCAATGCTCTCTGTTAGAAAAGCAGTATTAACATCATTTTACTGACATTGCGTTTCAAACCTAGCTTGTAATGGATTAGTAACACGCCAAGCCATAATTACATAAAAAGGAATGGAAACTACTACTATGATAGTTAATTTAGGCAATAAAATAAATTTTACTAAAAAAAATATGCTCATAAAGCTAATATCAATGAGCAAAGTCAATAGAGAACCACTGAGAAACTCTCTAATACTATCTAGTTGACGTGCACGTGCTACTAATGCATCAACTTGCCGGTTCTTAAAATAGAGTAAAGGTAAAGGAAGTAAATGTTTTACCAATTTAATGACGAGTACAATATCTATACGTGCCTATATATGGATATATTGATATTCTCGTAATGCCTTAAAGAATACCTCAAAAATACTAGTAATTACTAAGCCCAAAATCAGCACATCTAAGGAGCTATAGGTTTGATAAGCGAGTACCTTATCCATGACAATTTGAAATAGTAGAGAAATTATTAAAGCAAGTAATTGTGATATAAATAAAAGTCAGAATATTTAACATAAAATGTGACAATATTTCTAAAATGCTATTGGTATAAACCAAGTTATGTTAAACTTTGACGCAACATATAAAATAATAACTTGGCCATTCCAAGCTGCTGCTTAGAGTATAACTCAGTGTTGGGTTTATATGGGTGTTGAATTAAACCATGAGTTTCATTCCTTTTCGCTACTATTCGATACTCGCCATCAGTTGCAAGAAATACTACTGGAAAATCCTTATCTGTAAGCTTATCATATAATAGCTTTCTGGATTAAGTTTGACTTGACAAATTTTATTAAGCTTCTTGAGACCAGAACTCGCGAGGATACAATGCAGCTCTACAAGGAATGAGAACCACCCACGCCAGGGACATACAAAACTAGTGAGCGCCATGTGTCGGAATCTTCCAATCCTATGTGCAAAGGTGGTCTCACATGATAGCGGGCTTCGGTTTGAATGGAAGTTTAAGGTGGAAATCCCAACAAAAGAAAGTTGGCAAAATATTACAGTGGCTGCCCGAAAGGAGGTGCAATGTTGGTACACCGACGACCCAGGGGCGTCCATTACAGAATAGTCTGGTATATGCGTGTATTGGCAAGACACCAACAGGGGAGCACACTTTTAGCTGGAAAGCTGGAGGATAGTGTTTCCGGCGGAATCACATGCAATCCTCGAGGTTGCCCCAGATAGGGAAGTTACAGAAGGATTAGAGGGAGTGATTGGGACGTGGCAGAACAAAAACAAGAAAACCTGGTGTAGATAACAGGTAGCAAGCGCTCTTAATGAGTGGGGTTTTAGAGCCATCACAGAGAGGTGGACACAGCCCAAGGGGAACCACAAGTGACGCCAAGCCAACATCCAAATTTTTTATGTCAAGGAGGCGTTGGCCCCTGAGAACTCTGGTTGGGGTCATGACAGGCCACTGTAGCATGAACACATACCTATACCTACTAGGAATTGTTGAAAGCACCGTGTGTCCACAATGTGTAATAGCGGAGGAAACATCATATCGCGTATTAGGAGTCTGCCATTGCTGGTCGTCTACTAGGAGATGCATCCTTGGGGCATTTCGCCGGACCAATCCTGTCCCCCCACAATACTACTACTACTTCTACTACTACTACTACTACTACTACTACTAGACCAGAACCAATATTTAGATAAAATGAGAATAGTACATCTTTTGTAAAAACTGTAGTGAAACAACTGACTACAAGCTGGACCACTACGACCCGTACTTATAAACGATGCTCAAGCCGATACTCAGCTCATGCTTCGCCAAGTTTGAGATCGTTCTTAACCGAGAGAGACTATTTATCAACAGTACTTCGTGAATTCTCGGTGAAATATTGGTCGAGTATAGCAATTTAAAGACTTTCGTATTTATTTGGTAATTTTATATTGGGACTGTTGGCGAACTTGGCGAATCTAAGATGTCGTCAATGTTATTATGTAAATATGTCTTCTGAATCGCTGAAAGCCTGACTTATATAACGAAGATCACCGGACACAAGCTACAATATAATATACACTTTATGTACGAAAATAGACATGTAATTATAGAAACTTTGCTCCTTGTTGCATATAATCTCTAGAATAGAAAACTACTTGTATATAATCTTAAACATACCAGCAATTGAGTAATGGGTGATATTTGATATTGCTAATCCACGATTATCCGCTTTCAATAATGGTTCGTTTAAACTTTATTTCGATTGATCAACTCAATAATAGTGGCCGTTGAAAACCGAAACCTTTTCCGAAATTCTACATCCGAGAAAACTCAAAAGGATTTTTTCCATCTCGTATATATATTTTACTAACACGTTGACTTCCTTATACTGTCCATTCTTATATTGTATACGATAGTAAAATAAAAAAAATTAAAATGTAAAAACATAACATAAACAGTAATATAACCTTAAAACCCGTTTGACGGTTCGACGAAAAATCTCGACCAATGGCTGGGCAGAAGCAATACTCAAGCCACCGTCGACCGATACTTCAGCAAGCAAAACTGTGAACACTGGCTTGAGAACGATAATAGTTTATAAAACGCAATCGAAGCCAAGTCACTTGAGACTCGACTCAGGCTTGAGCATCGTTTATAAATAAGGACCTACGTATACTATTTCAACTTTAAAACCAGGTGCGACCACCACGAGGCAAATCTGCAGCAACGAAAATCATACTATTGATTCTCCCCTTATATAAATTTAATTTGGGTTTCACAGTCTCCCTTCTATAAAAAGACAACCACTTCTTACAACTTAAGGTATCTTTATCTTGGTTTAAGTTCTGCTTAAGTAGATTTGTACCACTTCTAGCTCCTGATGATTGGTACTTACTGATGTGCCCTAAACATGACGAGCGTGTCCTCTTAAATTGGGGGTCCGATAAATTTATTGTGGAGAAGCCTGTGTGCTATTCACCTTCATTCGTTTAATAATGCAAATTATCATGCATAATAAGTGTGCCAAATTTTAAAACCATCGGATGACTATCAAAAAAAATATATTTAAAAAAATCTTTTTTAAAAGCTAACTTTCTCGCCCGGTAGATCCGGTATTATTGGGTTTTCGCAAACCTATTATAGGAATTTGTCACACTCACGTTTGCTGTAGAGTTGCCTCGTTAAGTGTTGGTCGCACCATTTCCGGACACCCTGTAAATTGAATCTTCGCTAATTATTTTATCAATTTTTAAAATTACAAAGGCACCTCTGTTCCGGACACCCTTTTACATTTGTACCCCAGTTAAATTTGTAAAAACTTCTGAGTTGTTTTTAGTTGTCATTACTGCTGGAAATTGTGCAAGTTGTTCTGATTGTTGCATACTTGATATTGCTTGACTAAGAATACCAACATTAGCCCGTTTAATATTATTACAACAAACTTGAGAAGCCATTGTTTTCACTGCAAGTTTTCTATATGATAAGCACTCCTGTTCATAATCCAAGAATTTTTGTTGTAAATTAGGTATATCATCAGCTAATCTAGCTAATAATTGATTAGCTTGTGCCTGGGTTGATTTTGATGATACCTTTTTAATATTATTCTGTACTAATTGTTGGTACAGCAAATGCGGAATCGCTGCGATTTTCCCTATAGCTAGTTTGTTACGCACTTGTTGTATAGTTTTACAATATAATGCACTGTCCTCAAAGTTATCAGATATACATGATCTAATTCCGCAACTTCGAGCATGTTTTAACACTAATTTTTGAAATGCATCTACTAAAGTAGCTGATTGAATATCCAGTTGTCTACTTATTGCCTGATTATCCGATAATAGTTCAGAAGATTGTGGTTTACATCCTGTCCATTTTCTCACGAGCAATATACCTACGGTCAGAAAACCATTCATATCAGTATTGTTCAGCCATTGATCCCCCATCTTTAGCAATGTTGGTACAGTTTCACACTGGTTAAGAGATGGATGCTGTTTTACTGGTAGATCTGCTTGTAATAATGATAAAGATTCTGAGGGCTTGTAGTTCATGATATCTGATATCCAACTAACAGATACTATAGATGAAATTAGAATGCCTAGATTTTCCATTAAATTGATAGGCCAGAACTGCAACCTACTACTGACCCCTGAAGATGCAACATTAAAGGAGCTATTTTCTGTATCTATTGTTTTCTCTTGGTTAAGTACAATATGAGATTCACCTTCTACTAATGAACTTGTATTACTAATTTTCATATTAGATATGTTTTGATATTCTTTTATGTAATTTAATGATCTCGTTCTTCGATTATCTATTTTCTGTTTTTTATTAGATGGTTGATTATGTGAATCTGTCATTGGATTAAATTGTTGTGTGTTTTTGACCAGTTCTAGCAAATCATTTAATCTCTTTTTGAGAAAATTTATTTTATTTTTGTCAGCAAAATTGGCACTATTTTGGTTATTTGTGTCCAGGTTAGATAGTGCTATTTCGCGTAGCGTCTTATTTATTTTATCAAAAAATGTTTTGGCACCAGGTTGAGCCATTATCTGAGCAAGCTCGTTTACAGTCTTTTCTATCTCATCAAATGTTTGCTTATCAAGTTGAGAACTAGATATATCATCATGAGATTTTTGTAAATAATCTGCTAACTCTTGCAGTGTTTGACTATTAGATAGTGGATTAGAAGTATGCGAAATATCCTTATTGGCATGTACTTCATATTCTATAACATCTTTAGCTATGTTTGCCGCTTTATTAAAAACAAGTGTAATAGGGATTATCGCGCGTGAATCAGTAATAGATTTTAAATTACTTATATATTTAAGTATTTGTTTATTTGCGTCATTAAGCTTATTTTCAGAATCCTTTTTATCTTTAGCATATTTCAGTTCCATAATCAGAATATACTCATCTTGTGGTACATCAGAACCCATGTACTCACGTCGACATATTAAAAGATCAATTCGACCTGATTTAGATGGATTTGCTTCTGGTAGGACTTTTATGGTTTTGAGTTGATCATGTTTACCAAAAAACGTTCCATGTAATATAGCTTGAAAATCACTCTCACTATTGACCATATCTTGTACAGATATTAGAGATTTGGATAATTCCTCTAGTTCGGTATTGATGTTACCTCGAGAGAAAAAGTTTGCTATTCTTAATGTAGAAGTTAGTTTTTTATAGTCATGAATTTTTATAAACCTTGATACATCACGATGATCAAACACTTCTATATTTTGGAAAAAATATAATTTTTTATCATCTTTACCTTTAGTTTTATCATCTGTTCTTATTCTTTCATCTGGTGACCATCCTAATTTCGAATTATGATTTACTTTTATATCAATTTTAGTAAGACTATTAATTTGCACATTATTAGGTAATTTAATTTTATCAAGATTTACATCTTGAAATTTTCCATTATTGCTACTTTCAACTAAGTTTAACATTATCCATCCATTAGAATTTTTCGCTTGAAAAACAAATGTAGTTACTGTATTCCCTGCGTTATGTACATATAACTTTTCTACACCATCTTCTGATAAAAATTCTCCTAAAATTAATCTGCTGAGATAATTGTCATCAGTTTTAATTGCTAAGTTGGAAATAGAGTAATACAAATGTTTTAATTCCTTTTCAATATTGCTTCTAATATTTGCATGAGTTTTAGTGCTATCATGCATATTTCTTATCAATGGATTAATTAATCCTTCAGGCTGTGGTATGTTTTCTCTCTTAATATTGATAGCTTTATCAACATCATCAGAATCAATCTTAGAATTAATCCCAACAATTACAGCTTGATCAGATATGGTTCTCATACTAAGATTATAAAGGTAACCGGTACCCTTTGCCTGATCAATAGCACTAGCAGAAGAGGTTTCATCTGCTTTAAACTCTATAACTATTGGAATTGCTCTCCAATTTTTATTGTGACTGTTATCCTTACGAGAGAGTAATATTAAATCAGCGTAACCTTTTCCAGCAATACGCTCTACATAAATATCTAAGTAATAATGATATTTAAAATTCAAAGACAAAATTCCATATAAGAATCCCTGAAATGCAGCCTCTGATTTTATTTCAAAACCAAATTTGTTTTCTTTCTTAAACTTGGATTTACCCTTCTTGGATGTGTCTTGCATTTTCAATGAATTGTACACTTGCAACAATCCTTGGGAAATTGTCTTTATGCCAAACATAACATTATCTATATTATTACTCGCAAGATCTTCTAGATGTTTTAAGTCAATGTCAGTATATTCTATTTTCTGAAACTCTCCAGAACCAGGAGGTTTATGCTGATAGTTGTTGTTTGTTTTCGATAATTCCTTTACAGAGAGTGAATGATCAGTCGCTATATAAAAGATACTTTCTACTATTTGATAATTGTGTGTTATACCCAGTTTTGTTGACATTGCGTCTAGTTCAGACTGACTATATCTACCCTCCAACATCAGATTTTTCCGAAAATTTTTCATATCGTTTTCAGTATAACCTTTGTTAGAATTTATTTTATGGTCTTCAGCAATAAACGTTTTTAATACTAGCGTATGGTCATTTTGTTTAAAGCAAATTTTCAGAATTTTGGTATTAACCGTATTATGGCCCTGGGGTGTTAAAACATCTATTTTTTCAACTTTAGTATAAATATCTTTTTTAATATTAGGAAACTGAGGTATTGTATAAAGTGATCCTAAAATAAAATTAGGCCAGAATTCTGGTTTTGATGGTCCAAGAATAGTGGGAGTTTTTCGTAAGATTAGACTCAAATGTTCTGCAAAACCTTGAGGTTTGCTTGAATCAAAACCTCTATTAGAATCATCATTACTGGTTTGGGGTCGAATAGACATGCAACCACATTCTTCTTGATATATACCACGTGATATTCCTGAATCAGTACTATCAAAAAAAAGTTTAATTATTTCATCCTTAGGCTTATTACTTTCATTTTCTAGTAAAGCTGCAGCAGCAGTTGATGTAGAAGGAACACCACTCAGTGTGCCAGCTCCTCTGTTCTTCATACTCATGCAGCACAAGACCCTCCTACAACAAAAAAAAGTAACCTCATTTTTTATAAGTAATTTTACCTGGAACTGAACTGAGTTATTGCGCCGCACACTTGGGTATTAACAATATAAAACTGATGGAAAATTTAAAAATCAAGAATGCGCTGGTTTGTCACAATACCTCTTTACTCTGCGTTATGAAGCATTTGTTTATCTGGATTATTTGTGTTCAGTCCGAAAATACTACCGCCGAGCGAGTATTCTAGAACATCTTAGGTTAGGACTAAAGCTTAGGTTAGGAGCTAAACGTAGGAATACGATCCCATTAATGCGCATGCGTTAACTGCAGATTTTGGCTGCTGATCAGCTGGGTGATTAACAGTGGAGTGGGTGCTATCTATTTCACTCTTAATCTATGCCGTTTATGTTCATGTTTCGTATTTGAAATTTTCGGAATTTGAAATCTATTATTATGTATAGATATTAGACCATCGACCTTCCAAAATTGGTGCGTGTTTCTTCTGAAATTCGGCCTTCCCAGCATAAGGCGTGCAAAGGCAACATCAAATCCCAAAGTTTTGATTTCCCGCCAAAATGATTTTGCTGAATGCAACCACAGAGAGACGTCGGCCAAAAATCCAGAGGATCTTCTGATTGTTTGCATGCGTTGGTTTTGTACATATGTCCATAAGAGGACTCTGAACATACAGTATTTTACAGTTAAGATTATTCCGTCAATTTTCAATCTTTCAGTTTATCAATGTTTTCAATTTGCAATCATAAGCATTTTGATACTGAAGCAAACTAGTTTGATAACTGTGATATTTATCTTTGTTTTACAATGATGGAGCATAACGTGGCTCG